TTTAGGATACATCATAAGTTGTGTTTGCATGTTCATGAAGTCAATAAAATCTGTCTGGAGAAAAAGAGAAAAGTCCCGAAATATTAATAGAAATTTGTATAGTAGAACTTTGTTTTTTCTTCTTTCCTCCCCCATTAATCATGTCTCGCCCCCTCAGATTTATTTTGTGACCCTTTGGAGGGGCCCGACCCTGAGGTTGGGAACCACTGGACTGAACTACTGAACTTCACTGTATGAGGAAGTTAAAACTATCTCCACTGACCGCCACTGGAGCATTTATTATCAGTAATCTAATAATGTAAAATATAATTATATATACTTTAAAGGTAAATTTACTTTTGATACTTTAAGTACATTTAGATTATAATACTACTTTTAAATGAATGATTTGTACTTGTAATGTAGTGCTTATACATCCTGGTACTCCAGCACTGATAGACACAACAAGGTGTGTCGTACTTTCTGTGTCATCCAATAAAACTGTGTAAGACCTAATAAGCAAGTGGAATTGAATGCTTAAGTTATTATGAACATAGTTGAGCTTCAAAGTTGTTGAAACACGTTGCTCCTAATCAATACGTCTGATCTCAGTCAGTCTGTGGCACGGCTGACCTCTTTTTTTTGTTTCATATGAATCTCTCTTTGCTCCAGATGGAGACTGAGACTAGGGGTCCTGCTCAGACCAGTTCTCCCCTCTCCTCTTCCTCCTCCTCCTCCTCCTCTTTCAACCTCAGCGAGGCTCCTCGTCGACCCAGTTTCTGCTTCTCTTGGCTGAACCCCCTCCACAAGAAGAAGTAGAGGAAAGAGAGATGTGTTCGGAGAGGACGTTTGCTGAGGAGATGAAGAAAGATTCAGTCCAGAGTCTCGGTGCTGCTCTGGGACTGAAAACACACCGCACTGATAAAAACCTCAGAGTGAAACCTGTTTCAACCATCTCTGTTTTATTCTAAATATCCATCTAGTTTAAAACACATTGTGTGGGCAAACAGGAATAGATCTGCTCTGGATCTGTGTGCCTAAAGAGAAGAACAGTGACAGTTTTAGGGACTCTTATTTTGAAAAGTTTTTTGTTTTAAATAGAAGCTGCTGCCCTTCACACTAAAAGTCTTCACAGCTTTCAAATTTGTGATTGTAAGTGTCATTAGCAGAGGAGTACTGCAGTGTAGAAGGATTTTGAATAGTAGTATACTATAGTTATTATAGTAGCTATAGTTGTGCTACAACTAATAATAGCAGTTGTTGTAACAGGACAAGTTTTACCTGTTTTTATAAAGAAAGTAGAATTGCAGTATTTATAGTTGAAGACATAAATGAACTAGTCATATAGCAGAGCTTGTAGTAGAAGGAGCAGCAGCTACAGCAGAAGTAGTACAACTACTTGTAGTAGTAGTGATGGTACTATGTTTATTGTATTAGTCTGTTACTGTAGGCGTGGCTGCAGGATATGAACAAAAATCTGAGTTTTACTTGAACAGAATCTAATAATTAAGCGTTTCCCATCTCATTCTGTGGCAGATTTTGGTTAAATTTAACGTAAAATTTGGAAGCATGTAGACATAAGAACCAATTAGGTAACATTTTTTTATTTCTATCCAAAGAAATGTGACATTTTAACAGCTTTTTACTGGTGATGGGAGCTACTTGTACCAGTTTGAGCCAATTTGAACTGGTGATTTTGGATGTCACATGTGATTCGGTGTGGTTTGATGATTAAAAAGATTTTATGATTTTAGTTTGAAAGTCTGTGGTTTCATTTTGTGTATAATTGTGAGCTTGTGTTTGAGTGTGTGGACAGCTGAGATATGTTTGGTGTGATACATGAATACATGAAATAAATCATTGTTGACTCACCTGTAGTGTGTGTGTGTGTGTGGGTGTGTGTGTGGTGTGTGTGTGTGTGGTGTGTGTGAAGAGTGGTTCGAAGGACATTAGCTCTCTCCGGTGCTGTTGTTAAAATATAAAATATAAAAACCAAAATACAACAGCTGTCCCTGTGACGTCGTTTGACCACGCCGGAAGAGGAATTCTCATCAATCGATCACCTGTTGGCAGTGTGCAACATAACTTCCGGTTCTGAGGACACGCCTTCCAAATAAAAGCACGAAAACAAGCATTTCAAGTCACTGCATGTTTAAAGTTAAGTGTTGAAGTATATCATTTACGGAAAAGAGAGGTTTAAAGTTCAATATATTGTGATTTTGTTCCATATACATTTTATATAATTATATTAGCTACTGTTAATTTTATATATTATATATATATATATTATATTTTTATCTTTTACTTCATTTTTAATTTTATTCTTAGGGTTAAGGTTCTTAATTTTAGTTTAATGTATGTTTAATGTATGTTTAATGTTGTAATGCTATCTATCTTTTTGGGTATCCTGATGACATATCTATCTATCTATCTATCTTAATAATAATAACAGTTATATACATGCATTCAAGGCAGCAAGACATATTGGTGTATTGTTTCTATTACCTCTAAACAGCACTAAATATGATTAAATGTGTGGATATTTTTTCTATGTTCATACAGTGGGAACAAAGTCCAAGATGTTATCATTACAGTTTTTGTGCTACAGCATGACGTGGACACATTCAGACTACACAAAGAAAACAGATTCAAGATAAGAGAAGATAAAATGTTCCTTTATTGATCCCCCACAGGGGAAATTCAAATTAGCAGCAGCATCAGTACAGGGGAATGTAGTGCAAAGAGTAAAGAGAATACTCTTTCTCTTGATCACCACAGCAGCATAAAATAATATAAAGTTTATTTCATCACTAGCAGCTATCATTTAGTGTTCAGTCAGTATGAGGCTGAAAGATGGTTTTATTCTTTGACCTAGTTTAAACGTTACAACTCAGAAATACTGTCTCATTCCCAATTCTTCTTTTATTCTACTGTCAGAGTGGATTTCAACCACAAATCTGTGCAAGAACATTGCAATGTCCATGTAGAATAAAAAAAAGATTTGGGAACAAAAATGTCAGTGTACAGGTATATGTTCATCTTTACCATAAATACCATAATTCAAAGACATCTACCCATGCTGTGCATATTGTATATAATGTATATACTGTCATATTCACCTACCTCATGGCCTACATAAAGAAACCTGCACGTAAATATCTATTTCAGCATCCTTGTTTCTATCAGTATCTATCTATCTATCTATCTATCTATCTATCTATCTATCTATCTATTTGGGTATCCTGATGACATAACTACATGTAATCTGTTACTTCCCCAACCCAAACCTGACTGACCACCGACCATCCCTCAGCAGAGATCTCCTATATATATATATATATATATATATTCTATAGTCTTCTGTACAGTCTTCTTATCTTTTCTTATCTTTATTATCTTTATATTTTTAAAAGTACTTAATTCCTTTGTGATTTATACTGTTCATTTTATATATTATATACATACATAATACTTTATATCTTATCT